CGGGGGGGGGGGGGGATTTTCCGGACAAACATAAGCATAATCTAAAAAATTTTCCGGACTAACATCAGCATATTCAAAATTTCTCCACCAACATAAGTAACGCTTCCAATTTCTTCATCACAAACATAACAAAAGCTTTAAAACTGTTAAAATTGCAAACCATTTCATCAAATGGTTTTGGTTGTGAAGGCTTTTAAAAATATTGGAAACTGGTCAACCTAAAATATTAATAATTCCAACAAATAATTTTGGCAACCCCCCCCCCTTCATGCTGAAAATACTTCAAAGACCCCCCCTTCCAACCATAAATTGTTTTGGCAACCCACTAATTTTCCTCCAGCCCCCCTGGTCCTTAATTAATGAATGGTCCCTAAACTATGATTGAAATAATCGACGTAGAATGCTATTTTGTTGTATTAAATTTCAATAGTATTAAAGGACATTGGCAATAAGCCGGTTGGCCGTTTAATGCTCTATTCTATCTCATCTAGTTCCGAAGTTATAGGCAAAAATGTGCAAAATATAAATTGCTGATTCAGCACAACGTGTGACGTCATTAGTTGGGTAAGTATGTTTATTGAATTGTAAACTAAAGCAAAGCTAAATTATTATTAGCTCAAATCAAATGAAATTTTGCATACAGATAGTACATGATCAGACGCATGGGAAAATACTTCTAATTTTGTTGTCAAAGCAGCACAGTCGTTCCCAGGCCCCTTAAACTGATTTTGAATAACTAGTTGCATTTATCTATGTGTATGTCATTTTCGAATTATTGTCATGCAAGTAAACTTTTGGCATGCATAGGTATGGTACACATACTTATATTATCTTAACCTTATCAGTACCATGAATAAAGCTGTTTTATAAAATTGGCGCAAGAGGTCTGGGAACGACATTGTTATCTTGGCAACAAAATTAGAAGCGTTTTTCAATGCGTCTCATCATGTACAATCAGTATGCAAAATTTAATTTGATTTGGCCCCATAATAACTGAGCTATGCTTCAGTTTACTGTTCAATAAACATACTTACCCAACTAATGACGTCACACGTTGTGCTGAATCAGCAATTTATATTTTGCACATTTTTGCGTATAACTTCAGAACTAGAAGAGATAGAATAGAGCATTAAACAGCCAACCGGCTTATTTTTCCGTGTTCTTTCAGATGAAGCAATAAAAATTTTGGCTGCCAATGTCCTTTTAATGAGAATTTTGTTCGATATTTTAATATATTTCATGTTATTTACAAAATGTACTGTAGTTTTGAAGTTTTGCACACAATATAGTAAGTGTTAGCACAATGACTCCGTTTCAATTTGAGCATATATAAAAAAAATAATTGAGTATTTTGATAGCGTAGCCAGGCTTCACGATATATTAAATATTAAAAACGATTGATAAATAATCATTCATTGCAAGCACAACTGCTCCAGAATCACAACAAATAACAGAATATAAGGAAAATTAAAACCAGCAAAGCTTTACCCGCCTTGATCTATTTTTCTAAGGCGCTCAATTATGTAAATTTTCCGCGAACACTCAAACATTTTTCTTTGCCTTTCCTCGAGCATGAGTGATGAAATGCTCGTCGGAAAAACTCGGTATTTGTCGTATTTTACGAATTTCCACGTGACCAGTACGCTCACCGCCACTCACCGCGACACGAAATTTAGAGCTATATGAAAGTTGCATGCCATATATGGCATGCAACAAAAAATTAGTTAGGCCAGCAATTTGGCCCGCGGCCAGCAATTGTTTTAACCCGCAGCCCGCAAAAACTGACCCGCGGCCCGCAAAATAGCTAGACCCCTTTTTACTTAAGTACGTTTTGCCTCCAGTACTTTTTACTCTTACTCAAGTCGTTTTATTGTTAATTACTTCTACTTTTACTCGAGTATAAATTCAAAGTAATTTAGGCACCACTGACATTTATGTTTTGTTTTGTCACTCTTTGTCATTTACAAAAACAACAATTAATCCCGCGCTATTTTGCTTTCTTCCCACTCAAATATCGCATCTTTTAGATAAATAATAATTAAAATTTAGAACTGGACCCAAACAAAACTTTAGAATTCAACTTTTCGTCTGTTTTTCACCTGATTTTTAATAATGAAAATAATGAAAAATATAAAAGTTCAGTTGACCGCGCACGTAAGGGGACTGAGAATGACGCACAAGAATGCCTTCAATTTCCGCCATGTTTGGCTTCACTTTTTGAGCTCGAGTCAGCCTTCCATGTTATATAGTTCAGTGGGCTTACCTCGAGCGTCGAATATTTTCAATGACTTCGAGTTAAGCCCCTCTTTCTTCACGAGGCTTAACTCGAAGTTTCCAAGTTGTGTTTCTTTGTTCGAGTTAAGCCCTTGACGAACATGGGTGTGGTTTGGGCATGGTTGGAGCTTAACTCGAACTAGGGCTTAACTTGAAGGGCTTATCTCGAAGATTACCTACCTCTTGTTTTAGCATACACTCCTACTCAAAATACGGGGTAGGTATTTTTGAGTTATAACCCCCTGCCACGCCATTTTTCGACGTGGGCTTAACTTGAAGTCAGTTAACGATTTAAGCATTCGAGTTAAGCGCCGACATTTGGTTGATGTAAACAAGTGACGCGTGTGTACTCGCAAAAATATTGGCAAATAAGGAGGGAGAATGTAAAATTTCAGCAATCAGTTTAAGATAATATATTTTACTAAGATCTCTGTTGCTTTGCCTATAGTTTTATACAGACAATGATGTCGTAATATGAGAGAACTCAGTAAGGATTTGTAAACAACAGCTCATTCAAGGCGGCAATTACGGCTTTAAAAAATAGATAATATTTCTATTTCCCGTAAACAACCAAAAATAATAAATACAAGGAAATATAAGAATTATAAAGTGGATGCATTTAAATATGATCTAAGTAGGGTACTGGAAACCCTATCAAATAGTGAAGATCCAAATGTTGTTTGGAATCATTGGAAGGAAAGGTTCTTAGCGGTTGCAGATATGCACGCACTCCAGATTACCCGTAAAGTAAAAAATGAACATATACCCTGGATTACGCCTAGAATAAAAGACAGAATACATAATAGAGATTTTCTAAAAAAACAGGCTGTAAAATCTGGGTCTAAGTGTGCGCATGAAGCCTACAAAAAAGCTAGAAATGAAGTGGTTAAAATAGTTAAAAATGCGAAAACAAATTATTACATGCAGGCATTTAGTAATTGCGAGGCAAATCCAAAGAAAATGTGGAAAAAAGTTAATGAGTTAACAAATAGGAATGTAAAATCCACCAATATAAATGAAATTTCAGATGACGGGAATATAGTAACTGAACCAAGAGAAATTGAAAATAGTTTCAATAACTTTTTTACAGATATAGGACCCAAATTAGCAAAAGATCTGCCGGAACATAACCAGATACCAGAGTCGTATGTAAAACCTTTAAACACCATTTTCCGGTTTCAGTTAGTAACTGAAACAGATGTTTCGAAACTGTTATAGAAAAATACTTGAATTAGGCTTGAAAAATGAAAAATAATTGAATTAGGCTTCACTATAACACGTCGAATGAGCAGTGAAACATTTCAGTTTCCAACGGTTTACGCCCCGTTTCAAACGTAAACAAACGCGCGAAAATGTTTGCGGTTTGTGCTTGGACGAAAATTGCTGTTACAGCATGTATTCAATAAGTCAATATTATCGGGTAGCAGATGATATGAAAAGGGCAATTGTTTCCCCTATTTATAAATCGGATTGTAAAAGTAAACCCACAAATTATAGACCTGTGTCTGTATTGTCTGCGGTTGCTAAGATTTTTGAAAAACCTATATCTCATCAGCTTTCAAACTATTTGGAAAATAATAAAACATTAGTAAACCAACAATCAGGTTTCAGAAAGAAGCATTCAACAGAAACTTCATTACTATCTGTTACGAATGAATGGTATTTAAATATGAACAAAGGGTACCTAAATGGAGTTGTTTTTCTTGACCTAAAGAAAGCGTTTGATTGCGTAGACCACAGTATCCTACTCAGAAAATTAGAACTTTTTGGCATAAAAGGGGTTGAACTAAATTGGTTTAAATCATACTTGTCAAATAGAATCCAAAGGTGTAAGATTGGACAAACTATTTCGCCGCAGCCGCAAAAAATCCGTAGTGGAGTACCCCAGGGGTCTAACTTGGGTCCTCTGCTATTCCTTCTTTACTGATTAACGACTTGCCAAATTGTTTAAAATATACTAAAACGAATATGTTTGCCGACGACACAAATCTAACCACTGCAAGCTCAAATAAAGAAGAACTACAACGGCGATTACATTCTGACCTAGAGCTTATGCACAACTGGTTGTTGGCCAATAAATTGACATTAAATAAAGATAAAACAGAATATATGCCAATTGGTTTACACCAGAGATTATCGACTGTTGAAATTGACCCAATCTTAAAATTTGGGGATACAAAAACTAAGCGGGTTAAGCACGCAAAATCATTGGGCATAATTATTGACGAGCAACTACTTTGGAAAAATCAAATTGAGGCTATTTCAGGCAAAGAATCAAAAGGTATAGGTATGCTACGACGACTAAACAACTGTGTCCCCAAAACAACTTTGATTAAGGTGTACAATGCGTTAGTATTACCATATTTTGACTATTGCAGCCTTGTATAGAGTAACTGTAGTGATCAGCTGATCAGTAAGTTGCAGAAAATGCAAAACATGGCAGCAAGGGTCATAACTGGCAGATCATACGAGACACCTTCAAACGAAATTTTGGGGGAACTGGATTGGAAACCCCTAGTTGATCATTGGGAAAAAAATAGTTTGGTATTTATGTACAAAGCGAAGAGAAATGAATTACCAGAGAATTTGATGAACTTGTTTGAAATTAAAAATAACAATTATAATTTACGTAGCAACGGAAACGAGTTTATTCTACGAAAGCCTAAAACAAATTTTATGAAAAAAAGCATTAGCTATAATGGTGCTAAAACATGGAATAATTTACCGAGATGTGTAAAAACAAGTGATGCCACAATTAGGCAATTTAAGACTGCGCTTGATCGTATTAAACATTAAATGTAAATGTAACTAAGGCCAGTCAGTTTTGCATGGTTTTATATGTTTTATAACTAGTAATAGGTGTTTAATTAATGTGTGATATCTTTATAATTTTGATATTATGTAATTATTATGTATTGCTTCCATTTGTAAATATAGACTAATATAGTGTGAACGGCTCCTTGGAAATCAACAACCTAGGCGTGTTGAAGGATGACCGTTGTAAAATAAAATTTTTAATAATAATATTGGAAACTTTATTACTTTCAATAATATATATACACACTACAATGATAAACCTCTCTTTACAGGTAGTTTACCAGTGTCTACTTGAATTAATACTCTACATAATAACAATATTAGTATGACATTAGTTGTGGGTTATCCCATTCTTTGTTACGCTTACAGAATATATAATACGAGGACCTGATACATATATTAATAATTTTCCGAACATAGTACTTTCTACATTGTTCATCAAACTTTAGATCTTTCAGCATTTCTGTGAAATCTAGCGACGGGTGGCTGAAAACTCCTAATGAGCTAATCGATAAATTTACAAATTTCACTTTTTTATAATTTTTGAGCTGTTCGTTAATTAGATCTTGATATTTTTGTCTTTTTCGAGTTGCATTAGTGAGGAGATTAGATTCAAATCCGACGGTAAGTTCAAGTATATAAATACATTTGTTTTCAAGTGTTATTAAAAGATCAGGGCGCAATTCATCTCCGGTGATAACAGATGGACTGATATAGCCAGGAAGGTCAGCATAAAGGTTGCAATGGTTCACAGATTTAAGTATGGATACTATGAAGTTAAGCACCGAATCATGACGCCACGTGAAACGTCCTTCATTTAGGTAGGTCTTGCATCCAGCGACGACGTGAAGAAGTGATTCTGGATTCAAACAAAACGAACATTCGGATGTTGGTGATATTCCCCATTTCAGAAGGTTTTTACGAGTCGGAAGAGTGTTATTTATATACCGGATAGTGAAGTTAAATATATTCTTGGGAAGTTTACTCTGAACGGAGGACCATATAGAGTTGAATGAGAGTGTAGAATGTTTAATGATATTGGAGAAAAATGAGCCTTGTGAAATGAGGTGGTGTTGAAGCTTGTCTTCATGTTGTTTCCTGATGGTGTTTAATACGTCCTTGGTGTTTTTGCATTTGTCATATTGTACATTTTTGTGATTGCTAGTATCCTTCCAAAGGTTATTGATTGCTTCATTTGGCGACGACTTTAGGGCTTTCCGAGAAACAGTTTGGCATTGAAGGAATTTGGTTGAAGGAAGAATGATATTTAATCCAAATTTATTGTGGGGAAGTAGGACGTTACTAAGGGTTGCAGAAATAGGAAGTTCAAGCCATTTTCGGATATACGTGGACGCGATACTATCTAGTTTATCGTTAACCCAGGTTTTGCCTATGTCAGAAACAGTGAAGTGCCAAGAGATTTTGGAAAGCACATAACGACTGTATAAGAGAATTTTGTTTTTCGGATGTAATGGTAGATCATCAATTTCATTCAGGATATTAGTAAGTGTGTCATATACTTCAGATTTGTGATCGTCGTCCGACATGTTGAAATCAAAATAGCGACCTAAGTAGCGAAACGATTTACCAAGTTCAACACGTGGTACAAGACAGTTATTTATAAATAGTTTTGGGAGATATTGAATGGATTTGGTTACTTGTTTCCTAATGCCAAATGTTGAACATTTGTCTACACGTATTATCATTTGAGCCCACTGGCACCAGATTGTAAAGCGATTAAGGAGCATTTGGTTTTCTTTTTCTTGGCCGCTAACAACAGCCGCGTCGTCGGCAAACTGGAACCAATGAAGAGGATTTAATGGGGTACCGTTTTCACTCTGGTTTTCACTGGATTTCCAAAATCCAAGTTGACGGTATTTTTCCGATTTAATATGTTGGATAAAGGTATTGAAAGACATGTTGAATAAAAGAGGACTGAGACAATCGCCTTGAAGGACGCCACGACCGACTGTAATGAAGGAAGTATTGAACTGTTCAGTTATTATGGAAGTTTGGAAATCAGCATAAAGGCTACTGACAAGATTCTTTATGTGATCGGGAATGTGGTGATATTGAAGGACTTCATAAATAAGGTTATGGTGGACTTCGCCGAATGCATTTTTGAGATCTAATAGTGTTATGATAAGTGATCGTTGTTTTACACGCGCTTTATTAATGATATGTGCCAACTGTGCTGTGTGTTCTAGTGTTCCTGAGAGTTTTGGAGTGAAACCTTTCTGTATGTTCTGTTCAATGTAATTGTTTTCTGCAAGAAACTGAAATGTCCTGTTGCGAAGACATGATGTGAAAACTTTGAGTGGGACAGATTCGAGAGTAATGGGTCGAAAGTTCGCTGGGTTTGCTGTTTCTCCTTTCTTATGAATTAGAATCGTGCA